CCTCCCCAGGGGCGAGTCCCCGACGCCGTTCCGCCCAGCTGCCGTTATCTTCAGGAAAAGCGCCTGGATTTGCCCGGGAGAGGGGGAAAATCGCCGTCTCCCTCTCCAGCGGCCAGGCTGCTGCGCTCTTGGCTTCTTCTATCCGAAAATGCTCGCCTTTACCTGCACTTAAGCAGCCTCTTTGTATCGGTCCGTAACCAAACCACCTCTAGCTGATCAGCTAAAACACGTGAGCTCCAGAAACCTCTCCCCACAAGGCATCTTTTTTCCCAGCTCTCAAATAAATGCCATTTTTTTTCCTGCACCGTTTCCATCCCGCCAGCATCCTTACTGGAATGTTCTGCCCACCCCACGCTCCTCAATCCTTTCTCCCCTCCCTGTCGGCTCTTTTACGGCCGCTCGCCTTAATTTGCCTTCTATTTCTCACCCACGACACGACACCGGCACGCGAAAGCAAAGGAAAACGGGGGCTGAGGCGCGGAGAACGGCGGCAACACCACCGCAGCCGGGCTGCGAGGACAGTCTGCGGGCAGAAGGTGGAACTCCTGGGAGCCAGCCATCAGTCTGAGTGGGAGAACGTGGATCTCAAGAGCAAGGGTCCTGCCCCTGGGGAGGAACGACCCTGGAGAGCAGCTCTAGGGAGAGGGACTGGGAGTGCTGGGGGACGACAGGGTGACCATGAGCCAGCAGCGTGCCCTGGGTGCCAAGAAGGCCAATGGGATCCCTGTGGAGTCTCCTTCTCTGGAGATATTCAAGACCCACCTGGATGCGGTCCTGTGCAGCCTGCTGTGGGTGACCCTGCTTGGGCAGGGGGTTGGGCTGGGTGACCCACAGAGGTCCCTTCCAACCCCCACCATGCTGGGATTCTGTGGTTTTTGGAAGAGCATCTTCGCCTCAAGCCTGGGCTCGTTACCATCAAACACTTACCCAGAGTAATTGCTTACAGGGAGAAGTGGATCCTTACCATCAGCTGCTTGATGGTTGGGTGCTCCTCCGCCTCCCTGCCCGAGGCCGGCTCCTTGTGGACGATCTCCACGCGGATGTCGTTCTTGGCCGAGACCACGCCTTTCAGATCTGGGCACAGAGCGAGACAGAGACCGGGTCAGTCGCGGGCGATCGCGGCGCGTCCTCAGCGACCCGACCCATCGCCGGGGTTATCCCGCGGGGCCACGCGAACCCCTCGCCTCCGCGGAGCTCAGATTGCGGCTCGGATTCCCCACGGGGCCGGGCTGCCTGAACCGATGGCTCTTTGTCCAGAGCACGAGAAATATGTTCCTAAGGGATGGGCCAGCTCTTCCCTGGAGCCGGGAAGCCCCTGAGAAAAGCGTTCCCCAGGTTTGGGGGTGTAGATGCGTATGGAAAAGGCCAAGAAACAAATAAAAAGGACGTGGCCAGGGCTTTGGGAAGGCGAAAGCGGCTCCAGGCAGCCAGGTTTCAAGCAG